CATTTAAAACATACAACTGACCTTTGACATATCCGACAATCACCATAATGAAGAAACCATGATGGTAGGCATGGTGGGCGTGGTGAACACCTGCAGCAATCTTACGGGTGCGGACGACCTCCTTCAGAGCGACCAGAACCAGTTTGACCGGCAGGAAGGCCACGCATTTATAGAAAAGGTTCAGGGGGCAGTAAAAGATGAGATACCTATACAAAAAGTGGCAAGAGGGTGTATGTTTTAGCAAATAATGACAAAGAAGTTAACTTAAAAGTTGTTCATAAAGTCATAGTAATCTACAGGAGGGCAAATCTCCCTTTCCCCGTGAAAAGGTATGTTCTCACCAGACAGCTGATGCCAGCAAGATGTGACTGTTGTGTTGGAAATAGTCGATGGGGCTGCTTCCAAGCATGATGTCTGCTAGGATGTAACTGCCAAAGCAGTAGAGCATGGCACAGAGCCAAGAGGCCACGGGACTCCTACGAGAAACCTCAACTGAGCCTGCAACACAGTGGCCGAGACGTCAAGGACAGCTGATAAGACAGATCACATATGTTGTTTTTTGGATACGCTAGTGAGTCAATGATTTTTTTCAATCACTTTAGTATTTATTTATTTTCATATTTTGGGGTGGAAAAAGATTTTTTTTTCATATTTGACATTGGCGTCATCTAGTGGTCATAAAAGAACACTGCACCCAAAACACATTCCAATATGTTTTTCTTTAAAACGATCAAAATCAACATTTTAGATATAAAACTGTTGTTTACCAACGTGCATGTTATGTTTCTGTGTATGTTTCATGTGGAGTTTTGTAATTATTGTTAAAAATCAAGGTAATAACAACTTTCTAAAAGAAATAGCTGTTTTAGAAATGGCCGCCTCTGACAATAACAGAGCATTGTGATTATTTTGATTTTTACTGAAGGAGAATTAAATTTGATGAAACTCCTGATGGATCGCACAAACCAACCGTGTGTGTGTGTGTGTGTGTTATCAGTGGATCCAGCGTGTGTCTGTGAGCGCTCTCTTTGTCCACGCCCCATCACGCCCTCTTGGACACACCCTGATAGCGCACATTTGCATCCTGGAGTGATATTGACTCCAGATAATGACACTGATGTTTATACAGTTACAAATAACCACACTGCATAGCAGCCCCTCAGTTTTACAAACAGATTAAATATGTAGTATCATTTTTTATGTGTTAAACTATTGAACTCATAACACAACAGGTGTGGGAACTGGTTTCATGTCACTGGCTGCCAAAACTCCATTAAAACTAAATGAACTAACAAAAACATCTGAACAAATACGATTTTTGGTCATTTTGTGTCCTATTTTTAATATTTGGCACCTTTGATCATTTTTATTTCCAAACAACATAACAGATACTTGTTTTTTTATTCCACGTAGTATTAAATTGTATCTTCATACTTTAAAATAATTCCCATTTGCATTTTTCTCTGCATGCTTGTGCTCATTTTGATCATTTTTTTGTCCAATCCTGGAGGTTTTGCATCAGGTTTTATCTTTATTTTCCCCACATGCCTTTTTCTAAATGCATCTTTGTATGCGTATGGTTTTGTTTCTCTTTCATGGCTGAAGACCGCTGATTCCAGTTCTGTTCTCAGTCTGCAGATTCAACGACAATTTTCTTAAAATGAAAAGAAACATCAACCATCAATATAATTTGTGCAAATGCACAAATGTTTATGTCCAAAGATTTTTAGACATTTAAAGCTGCTTTAACGTTGTTAGACACATCCAGTAAAGTGAGATGTGAGCACAAATCTCCAACAACAGGTGGGTGAGGGCATCGTGGTGTGGCTACCGCCCAGCCTGAGAGCAATCTGATCCTGAGTAATGCTGTTATGCTATAAATACGTCTAACCGTTGGGCCTGGCTTGACCTCTGACCCCACACTTGTCTCTATTTACCCCACCATTTAAAACTCATTCATGTGCTGCTGGAGCATGTTCTGTGAACTTGTTCACTAGTCTGGCGGACGCATAAACAGTGATGTCACAGGAGCTGCTGTGAGTCATTTGACAGTCAAATCACAGAAATGAAAATACACTCAGGAACATGCTGACTTTACCTGTAGCTGAGTGGTGTAAAAACATGTAATTTAATTATTTTAACAAGAAGTAAAGACAATTTTCAGTTCATGTAACTGCTAACTACTGCTATGCTAAGGTTTAGCACATTGCTCATAACTTTTTAGACTGAAAGCACATCATTTGCAATGACAAAAATCTGAAAAAGTCTTATTTCATGTTAATTCCTGTACTTTGTGCCAAAACCTACATTACCCACAATGCTCCCTGATTATGTAGTTTGGAGCTGAAACAAGCTGATCCCCTTTTCCAGTCTTCACTCCTGAAGATTTCTTTTCTTTTTTTCTTTCTTTTTACTTTAGGAATATTTGTCATTAATTCTGGCTGAGTGTTCACACTTTATGAACACACTAAATGCCCACTGTTCCATCGCCATAGTAAACTATCATCAGGAACTACTGGAACAGACGGGGCATAAAATAACAGCTTTCCAACTTCACACAATCATCACTAAAAATGACTGAAACTCTGTGTGCTAAAGACCATTAATGACCTTTTGCTTCAGCCTGGTTTTAAAACGTGAAATAAATCAGTGCCTCCTTTTATAGCATGATGTGTGAGCATCTTCCCTGAAAGTTCAAGAGAAATAAAAGAAAACAACCAAAACTTTGAATTCAGAGTGACGAAAAGTGGTTTAGCCCAACAACATATTTTAGCTTTCCAGCTCACTGCTGATAAAAACCCTGAAACTGCCTTAGAAAACTTTAGCTGGAGGCGGCTTTTAGAGACACACTATCTCCATCTATTTCAGGCTCTTCTATTAATTTCTGGTATGCACAGGCCTTCGCTCAGGTTTCATCCTCTTTTAGACACTGGAGATCTAGTGAGAAAAATCTTAAAAAAAACATCTAATGAGAGGTTGGTTTTGCTTTGACTGGTTTCCCACAAGTTACCTAAAGGAGGTCAGGCATGCAGCATCAACACAGTTTCTCACCCAAAACCGAGCAGAGCTGCAGAGGTGCTGCCTGCTGCAGTTTATGTAACAGGTCAAGCTTTATAAGGAGAGGTTATTAACAGAAAACAGCCTTAGAACTCAACAAACCCAAAACAATGATTTGAAGCAGCTCAGTCTGGTATTATCTTAACATAGCAATAGAAATCTTGATTTTATTATTACAAACGTGTCTTTCTTTGTAAAAACTTAATTTAAAGGTCAAACGATTACTTAAATGAGGTCATCCTGACAAGTGTGAACGCACTCACCTGGCTCATATTTAAGGTAAAGGATGGAAACGATGTAATAAGCGACATCAAAGACGGGAAACATTCCCATTTTGGAGAACGCATGGGCAAAATCGCCCAGATTAAGAACTGCCAGCACGTTTTCCATGGCTGATGAGCAGCTTTTTCTTCTTTATTCCAACTGCGCAGTCTGGATCGGAACCCCTCCAGCAGAAGCCCGCTGTCCACCGTGGGTATCTCCACCGAGCCCCCCGGTCTCCAAGTGAAAGCCTGACACTCAAACCCTCCTATTAATACCTCTCAGATCAAGAGCTGCACCATCCTCATCCTCATCCAGCTGCTCCGCTTTTTCAGGGCCACGGCAGGTCTCAGCTGCTTCAGAGGCGAGCAGGAAAACAACACAAGGCTTGTTTCTGTAGGGCGTCTATTATAATCACTAGACTGGGCCACGAGACGCTGTTCGACAGGAGTCATAATAAAACCCCATGCACGCGCCCATGATTAATATGGACCTAGATTAATTCAGTCGTTCATAAATATCAACACACATTCATAATCCGGATCAGATTATGCATCGCCTCTCGTGGCTAAATCACCGGATCTAATGTAATGTTTTTTTATTCTAAATGAAGCAGAAATACAAAAATAAACGAGAAAATGATGCCAAAAACTGGCTTAATGCACATCACTCATATTTAATCTTGTTTTAGAAAAAATGTATGGTATTTATCATCAGCATTAGTACAGTTGCTGTCTCTTTAAAAGACGAATAATGTTTATGTCCACTAGAGGGCAGCAGAAAGAAAGAAATAACTTTTTTTTGGACTCAAAGAATAATCCCAATATAATGTTTGTCTTAATTATGCCCAGTCTAGGTAGATCCTTCAACAACTTGTGCACACATTATTTTAAGTTAAATATGTTTTAGTTCTTTTTTTTTTTTTTTTTTTTTAGATAGAACCAAAGCTTCACAGCATCAGCCTTGTATTTCAAATCCTCAACATTATTGTCCTTACAGGGAGTTCACTGCATTACATCTTCTGGTAAAACGTTAAGATCCTCATAACAAATGATAAATACGTAAATAAATAAATAAATAAAAACGAATTAAATTGCATTTTTCCTTAATGATTTTTTTTATTTTCATTTATTGAAACAATGCCTATAGTTTACACTGAAAACGTACACATTTTACCTCACAGAATTCCTGCTGTGACTACAAAGTTTGTTAAGAGACATGAACAAATTTCTGAAATATTTTAATCTACATCTATAGCAAACAAATAGAAGCGTATCTGAAATAGACAAAGAAATCCAACTGATTTGAAACCACTGCGTATCCTAGTGTTACAAAACATATATTTAATTGTTATGGTGGCTCTTTATTTGGTATTTAGCTGAGTCGTCTGAATTTACTGCCTGTCTATCCGCATTCTGTCCCTAACGGTGTATTGTGGGGTAAAAGATTCCTAAGTTTAATCTTTAAGGCACAATTTCAAGCAATATTTAGATGTTATTTAAGTTTTACAGCCTTTGAAATTTATATTTATACTTCCACCACTTCTTACAATAAAGTCATTCAAATCAATTAAGACTTGAATCTTGTTCTTTTTTGCAACAAATGGGTGAAAAATCAAACTGGAAAGCACCTTACAGTCAAAACGCAGGACAGAATATCATTAGCCTCCCCAGAGCGCGTTCTAACTTTTAATAGGTTACGTTTTCGAGTGCGTCAAAAAACACGGAAGTGAGACGTTTGCGTTGTTAGCAAGATGATCGCGGATCTCTTAATATTTGGGTAATTTATCATTTGTTTTCTTATTTTTACGCAACATCATAGTTTTTGTGAATTTATGTTGTGTTTGTGTGTTGTTGTGTTGTATGCTGCTGGTAGGAAAGTGCTGTAATACGTGAAATGTTAATGCCAGCTCAGCAGCTAACAACGTTAGCTCTTCAGGTAAAGAAAGCCACATTTCCTCTAAACAAACCCGGTTTTTATGTTCGTTTATTAGGACTCTGCTGGTAAATGCGGGGGCTGTGCTGAACTTCAAGCTGTAAGTACTTTAAATAAGTATCGAGGTCTAAAAACAGGTGAATACTCTTGTTTGATGTTAACTGCAAATGTTTTGCAGGAAGAGGAAAGACGCGCAAGGGTTTGGAGATGATTCTGGAGCTCCAACCACAGGTGTGTATGTAGTAAGTTGGAGAAATTGGTTAAATTAAGGAAAAAGTTCTCTACAGCAAGAAATGAAATAGATTTTCTTTTAAATGATCAGACTTTCAGTGTTGGGAGCTAGCTACCACTAGCAAATGAAGCATGTTTAGAGGCTTCTTTAGTCCTTAAACAACATTTGTTTGACAGTGGTGTTCCAAAAGACAGTCAAAATATTTTGCAGAATTAAAAACTGTAGTAATAATTGTGCTCTAGTCAGATGTTATTTGCAGGACTTATGAGCTGTTTCTTTCTTTTAGGTGACAACATCAGAGAGTTCCTGCTCAGCTTGCGATACTTTAGGATCTTCATCGCTCTGTGGAATATCTTCATCATGTTCTGCATGATCTTGTGAGTAACTCTTCTGTGCAGGATCTGATGAGGGTATTCATGGGTCTTTAAAAGTCTTATTTGAATTCCTGTAAATAAGGCATTCAAATCTTTAACCATAACAATTACTCCTTAAAACCAGAGTCTAAAGATCTTAAAAATGCCCCAGACACAATCAACAAGATTGCTTTATTTTATTTGGTTTTGTTGGAGGCTATTTTCAGGAATGCATATTAGCCACTTTAGCTGTGTGTGAGCCATGGGGATGTGCAGGTTTAGTGGTCCATGTTCTTTCATCCTCTTCAGAGCAATTACCGTGACATTTTTGTTATTTTTCAGGACTTTCAGTTCTAATTAAAGGTTTGGACAGAACTATTGTTTTGTGTGGTCACATCCGTTTTCCATTCAGAGAATGTGAGGTCTTAAATTTTTATCAATGTGGCCTTAAAAACGGGTTTTAAAGGTCTTACATTTGGCTTCCTTAAACCCCAGCTTTAAAACCAAGGAGCTTGAATTTAATGGCAGGGTGATGTTTTCTAATTTGCTGACCGATTTAAAAGAAAATAACTAAAAATACTTTGTTGAGGAGGGGTGACGATGACAAACTAGCAATTTTGGATACAAACTGGATGCTGGATGCTGAACTGCTTAGAGCCATTTGCCATGCAGTTTATTTCAAAACTTGTTTACAATTTGTTATTATTTACATTTTGTTGAAAATCTCCTGAATATCCATATAAGTGCCAGATTCCTAACCAGTTAAATGTCTTTATTTAACAGATTGTTTGGATCCTGATCCGTATCTGGAGACTTCCGGCTGGAAAATCAGCTTTTCAAGACACTAGATACTTGAGCTAATTTAGCCTTTTTAATAGCTATTTTTCTGTTTTATTTACTACCCAGAAATTATAACTTTACTTCAGGGTGTGCTGGAAATATTCAGCTGTATTTATTTTGTTGCACGAGTTGTTAAAGTTGAATTGTAACTTTCCAATCTTTGATGTTTTGTTCTTTATTTTGGGGCATAAGAAATTTATGTTGTGTGTTAAAATTTTCTTTTTGTTCCCTGTGCAGAGCCATAACTGGAGCTGTATTCAGCAGATGTGCGTCTACGTTGTTTGTAAATGAGGGGAAAAAAACATCTGTTTCATTCCTCTGACCTGTCGTGTGTTTGTGCTGCTTTTAAAAGTATGAGCATACTTCTTTAATACACGCCAAATTTGCTCAAAATAAACAGATGTATTATACTGTAATGTTACCCTTAATTTGAATAAATATTTTTTCTTAATCACTAGATTCTGTTAGACTCATTATGTACATCATTACAAGCATTAAGCTTTAAATTAAAGCAAAATTGTGTATTTTATTAATTTACAGACTGCAAACATGACTCGTAAGCCTCTTTTAGAACACGATGGGGCCAGTTTGCCTCAATGCTGAGTCGGCATCAGGGAGCCTTACGTCATTTATAAGTGACCAGACCATGGTGGTGATGTGGTGCAATCGTGTCCTTTTTACAAAAGATTGCTTTATGGCATTATAAAGATGTATGGGGCGGTCTTTGTACTGCCGTGGACTTCCATTTAACTTGGACATAACTTGCTTTTTTACTGCGATCAAAGTTAAATTCATTAAGTTTTTTTGACAAGCTGATCCTAAAGGTGTCTGTCCTCCACAGTCCCTGTGAATGATCAGGTGATCTGAGCTTCAGCTCTGATGGAGTGGAGCTCTGCATCGCTCCAGTTTATCATCTCAGCTGATTCTGTTAACGAAAGCAAAACTTACTGCCCGTGTTTACTTCATTTTCAATATAGTTGCCAGCCGGAGCTTGTCAGTAACTCCCCATGTGATTGTGACACCTCCCTCTGTTGCGCCAAGGCATAATATGCGTTGCGGTAATGTTACCAAGCAACGCTGCCAAATTCCCGCATCGCCAGTATTGTGCTGATTTGCCAGCATGGTGTGTCTTCTAAAAAGGGCTATAAAGGTGTTACTCAGTTTTCAGTCAAAATATTTGTTGGTGACTTTAGTGGCAATTCCTTGTTTAACCAACCAATTTCCTCAGGGTTTTAAATCCTTAAGCCACTGCTGCACTGAAGTGATATCCTGTACGCAGGAAAAAGAAGTCCAATGTCCAAACGATCTTAACTGTTGAATATTTTTGGTGTTTATTCATCCAACTTGGAAAGTACTATATACATCTCCATTTCCTGCTGCTTCTCCTGCTCTGGTAAAAAAAAAACTATAGGCCCACCCCAATGCATTCTGGTCCAACACCAGTCCCCATATTTATAGAAAACAAAACAACTCATTTCATCCTGGCTGATTCTCACAGGCAAAATAAAAATAAATAAATAAAATCATCATTAACCAACAACTAAACCCAATAAATAACCCAACAACTGTAAGTAACCCAAATAGCTCCAACAGTGACTATATTGTCATTTGTCACCATGACAACATATTTAGATTGTTTTCTGCTCTTATCCTCATCGTATACTTGATCAAACTTCTTACATGAAAACCAAACCCACAAAGATAAAAAAAATTATATTAAATTACCTACACTGAGGAGAAATACACAAAGCAACAGGAATAGTGTATTTATTTTCTATACAAGCAGTTTAAAACAATAAAACAATGAACAGTAAATTTATCTCAGTTTGCCGGTTACTCATGTTGCTGTTCACGAAATAAATAAAACATCCTACAGAAAGAACACAACTCAAAACCGAACATTTACACCTTTTGTGTCTTAGAACTGAAAATAGTTTTTTTTTTATTCCTTACAGTAGTTTGATGAGCGTATAATTGAGTGTGTTGCTGCCAGGATAGTTTGCTTAAGAGTTTTAGAGAAAATGTCAGATTTCTCACCAGTACAATCTTTTCAAAAGCCTCTAAATGTCTTCAGAGTATCCAGATGAATATATCTAACCTTTACTCGTTGATGCCAACCTTTAGTTCTAGTTTATAGACATCTTAAGTAAAATCATGTTTTATACAATACAGTTTGCCTGTTACTGTGAAGTTTGACAGGTTTTATTTATTTATGTGTGAAGAATCGTTGTCGTAAACATCTGGAACAAAGACAAACAGACCTTTAGTGACTGAGGCTTTGGGTTTTATTTAAAAATACACTTTATAAATATACTTTATATTTTAAGAAATTGGTGAAATATAAATCTCTGAACTTACCAAACGAATGGGCAACGTCATCATATACGTCTCCTTCCCTAAAGTAAATGAAAATGAAAAATATATTTTTTTTACACACATACACATATTTTTAGGCTGCTGTAATGAAGTGAGGAGGACTAACTCACAAATGCAGAAGGAGTGTTGTTGACACATAACCGTCTGTGAAACCAGATAAAACAGAAAATCATGGTCTCTGCTGTAATAAAGATGACATTTTATGTATCATGTGATCTACGGTAAGCATCTCTGGAACTGTTCTAGACTGGTTTAGATCGAACCTTTCCAACAGAACTTACAGTGTCTGTATAAATCAAATCAAATCATGTCAGATTCTACCGATCTGTTCTATCCCCCAAGGCTCTGTTTTGGGTCCACCCTTGTTTCTACTGTACATACACCCTCTTGGACAGATAATTGATTTTTTTCATAATGTGTCTTATCACCCAAATGCAGATGATGTTCAGCTGTACTGCTCCTTTAAGGATTCTGAGCTCTATAAACTGTCTGAACTACTAGAGTGTCTATCAGCTATCACAGCTGGCTAGAAGAGAACTTCTTTCAGTTAAACTCTGAAAAGACTGAATGTCTGATAATTGCCCCTGAGAGCATGGTTCCCCTGACTAGTCTAAAACTTGGTAATTTATCCTCTGCCGTCAAGACAAACTTAAGGACTTTGGGTGTTATTTTTGACCAATCAATGTCTCTTGAAGGTCACTCAAAAACATTGGTCCAAAACTGTTTTTATCGTTTAAGAAATATCTCCAAACTGCGAAGGTCGGTGTCAAAACATGAACTTGAAATGGTTACTCATGCCTTTGTCTCCTCCCGTCTAGATTACTGTAACACACTTTTCACATGTTTGAACAAAAAAGCCCTCGATTGTCTTCGGTTGGTCCAGAACTCTGCAGCGAGGCTCCTAACTGGAGCAAACAGAAGAGCACACATCACTCCTATTCTAATGTCTCTGCACTGGTTACCCGTTAACTTTAGAGTTCATTTTAGAATCCTGATTATAACTTTCAATGCTCTACATGGTCAAGCTCCTCCCTATATTACTGAACTGTTAAAGCTGTATGCTCCAACCCTCAGGTCCACACACCAGAACTTCTAGAAGTTCCAAAGACCAGATATAAAAGTCGAGGCGCTCACTCCTCCAGTTTGCTGTTTTGTTTTTTAAAAGCATTTTGATTTTATAACTTTAGGACTTGTTTTGTTGATCACTGTGAAGCACTTTGTGATTCTCTTTCTGTGATGAGTGCTATATAAATAAAATTACTAACCTATTTACTTACTCACAAATCTGTTATTGTGTTATAGCAAATCTACAAAACAAGCTAGGTTTAGACGGCAAACACGGTCACGGACCCCCCCCCCCCCCCACCCCCCCCCCCCCCCACACACACACACACACACACCCACCCCCCCCCCACCCCCACCCCCGGATCTCTTCCCTGACACGTTCCTGCCAGGACCGGAAATCTGTGATGCCAGCAGAAATGAGATAGTGCTAAACATCTGTCGCCATTTTCTAGGTCCAAGCGTCTTTTGTTGTCTGTGAAATCAGATGATGTTTTTCTTTTTGGGACTCTGTTAGTTAGTCCTAAATTTGAAGTGGTAGCAGCCAGCTGTTCCTCCTTTTTTGATATTGAGCAATAGACATCTCACACCAGTGGTGTTCTGTTGCTAAATGCACACCCCTCTGCAGCTTCTTTACTGTTACCCACACGTTACCCCATAGAGACAGTGTCCTGCCCACGGCCAAAATCACACAGATTAAATATCAGGCTTAATAAAGCAAATCATGGAAATCTCATAAATATTAGAACAAATTCAACTGAGCAAAAATTAGAAAAATTAAATGTGGGTTATTGAACATTAGATCTATTTTTTTCTAAGACTTTGTTAGTTACTTGATTTGTGATAATCAGATTTCTTTGCTCTCTCTCTCACATAATCCTGGCTGCAGCAAGAGGACTATGTTAGCTTAAATGAGTCGACTCCTTTTAATTATTTAAATCAACATTTTGCTCGAAGTACATGGCGAGGAGGAGGAGTAGCAACCATTTTTCATTCAGACTTATTAATCAATCCCTTACCAATTAATAGCTACAGTTCGTTCGAACATCTCATTCTTAGTTTTCCTAATCCAGATTGCAAAACTGTAAAACCACTCTTGTTTGTAGTTTTATATCGTCCACCAGGCCCTTACTCTGAGTTTTTGGATCAGATCTCTGATTTCTTATCTGATTTGTTGCTAAATACTGATAAGGTCATTGTAGTGGGGGATTTTAATATTCATGTGGACATTGAAAATGATAGCCTCAATGTAGCCTTTAGTAATATCTTAGACTCAATTGGTTTTACTCACAGAATACATAGCTCCACCCACTCCTGCCATCATATATTAGACCTTGTGCTGACTTATGGCATAGAGTAAGAGGAAATAACAATCTTTCCACATAATCCAGTCCTCTGGGACCACTTTCTGATAACCTTTGAGTTTTTTATAACTGAGTTCTCGAGACATGAAAGTAAATTTCACTATAGTCGGTCTCTATCTGACAACGCTGTTGCATCTTTTATATCAACTGTTCCATCTTTACTGACCTCTGCATCTCAGAGGAACGTAGCAGAGGGCAATATTTTCTTTTCTAGCCCCTCACAAACTGATGCCTTAGTTCATAATGTTACTTCCTCTTTACATGTGGCATTAGATGATGTTGCCCTTTTAAAAAAGAAGGTAATTAGGGACAGGAAGTTGGCTCCCTGGTTTAATTCTCATTTACGAGCTTTAAAACAAAACTCTAGGAAATTGGAGAGAACATGGCGCTCTACGCACCATGAGGAGGCCTACCTATCCTGGAAAAATAGTCTTGTGCTTTATAAAAATAAGCTTAGACAAACAAGAACTGCTTATTTCTCAGTGTTAATTGAGGAGAATAAGAATAATCCTAAATTTCTTTTCAGTACAGTTGCCAAACTTACACTGAATCATAGCTCTGAACCATCTATTCCCTTAGCCCTCAGCAGTAACGACTTTATGGGATTTTTCACAAGAAAAATTAATTCTATTAGAAACAAAATCTTTAGCATCCTCCCTAATGTGATTTCTTCTTCCTCAGTAAGTGAGGCAGCATCAGAGGTAACTGTAGAACCTCATCTGTGCTTGAACCGTTTTGATCCACTTGAACTTTCAGAGTTATCAAAAATATTAGCTTCATCTAAACTTTCCACTTGCATTTTAGATCCAATCCCAACCAAATTATTTAAAGATGCATTTCCTTTGGTTACTACCCCCATTCTAGATATAATCAATCTATCCTTAGTAAATGGATATGTACCACAGGATTTTAAGGTTGCTGTAATCAAACCTTCACTTAAGAAGCCTTCTCTGGATCCAGATGACCCAATGAATTATAGACCAATATATAACCTTCCATTTTTATCCAAAGTCCTGGAGAAAATGGTGGCCATCCAAGTATGTGAGCATTTAAACACTAATGATCTGTTTGAGGAATTTCAGTCTGGTTTTAGAGAGTATCACAGCACTGAAACTGCATTAGTGAGAGTTACAAATGATATTCTCATGGCCTCAGATAAGAATCTTGTGTCTTTTCTAGTCTTGTTAGATCTCAGTGCTGCTTTTGACACAGTATATCACAATGTTCTTGTAGAAAGGATTGAACATGTTGTAGGGATCAAAGGAACAGCGCTAGGCTGGTTTAAATCCTACCTGTCTGACAGATTTCATTGTATAAATGTACATGACAAATATTCTTCATACTCCAGGGTTACTTGTGGAGTACCACAGGGTTCAGTGCTTGGGCCAATTCTTTTTACTATATATTTGCTCCCAATTAGTAAAATCATTAGACATCATGGGATAAACTTTCACTGTTATGCTGACGACACTCAGCTATATTTATCCATTAACCCTGATGAACCTAATCGGTTGGGTAGATTACAGGCTTGTCTTGAGGACATAAAAAATTGGATGACTCTTAACTTTTTGCTTTTAAATCAAGACAAGATGGAAGTTCTCATCTTTGGACCAGAAATCCAGAAAAGGAAATTGCTTAGTCAATCACCTGACCTGAATGGCATTAAATTAGTCTCCGAGAACAAAGTAAGGGACCGTGGTGTTATTTTTGACCAGGACATGTCATTCAAATCCCAAGTTAATCAGGTTTGTAGGGTTTCCTTTTTCCACCTTCGGAATATTGCTAAGATTAGAAGCATCCTTTCCAGGAGTGATGCTGAAAAACTAGTTCATGCATTTATTACATCAAGACTGGATTACTGTAATTCATTACTCTCAGGAAGTCCACAGAATGTAGTTAAAAGTCTTCAGCTTGTCCAAAATGCTGCAGCTAGAGTTCTGATGAGAATTAAAAAGAGAGATCATATCTCTCCTGTCTTGGCTTCCCTACATTGGCTACCTGTTAAATTCAGAATAGATTTTAAGATCCTTCTTCTCACAAATAAAGCTCTTAATAATCAAGTTCCATCATACATCAGTGATCTGATTGTTCCTTACGTTCCTAACCGAACACTTCGCTCCCAGACTGCAGGTTTACTGGTGGTTCCCAGAATATCTAAAATTAGGATGGGATGCAGATCTTTTAGTTATCAGGCTCCTCTCCTGTGGAACCAGCTCCCAGTCTTAGTCCATGAGGCAGACACCTTGTCTACTTTTAAGAATAGGCTTAAAACATTTTTATTTGATAGGGCTTATGGTTAAAATCTGATGTTAGCTTAGATCTGGACAAGTGGGGGAGTAGAGGGAGGTGGAGTGTACAGTCTGTAAAGACGGCTCTCCCTTGCCCTGCCTCCAACATTTCACCATCTAAAAAGGCTAGGTTATCCAGCGTTATCTCTGTAGTTATGCTGCTATAGGCTTAGACTGCTGGAGGATACACTGACCACTTTTCACACTCTACTACTTTCTTCTACAATCTGCTCTTTAACTGTATTATTTCCTGCGACTTCAACTATTAACTTTATTTTTTCTCTAAGTGTTTTTCTCCCCAGAGGAAGCTACGGTGATGTTCTGCTGAGCTGTGGTGGCCTCATGGAGGGGGCCATCGTCTAGCACACTGCTGCTAACCACTTAAACTGTCTCCCTCTCCTGATAATAACTTTTTGATTCCTTGACGTTGGAGGTGCTACTGCTAGTTTACCCGTTTCACAATAGATCCACTAGGATAAATACAATAAAGTTTTTCTTTCTCTAAATAGAATATTTACTAAGCAATCACGGTGTAACCATGGCCACATTGCTTGGTGTGTGTGTGTGTGTGTGTGTGTGCGTGTGCGTGTGCGTGTGCGTGTGTGTGTGTGTGTGTTTGTGTGTGTGTGTGTGTGTCTGCTCTGTCTGCTCGATCCCCAGTGAGTCGTGGAGGATGGCTGCTTATACTGAGCCAGGATCCTCTGGAGGGTTCTTCCTGTTAAAAGGGAGTTTTCATCTCCACTGTCGCTACATGCTTGCTTAGTATGAGGATTGCTGTAAAGTCACTGACTAGTGTCAGTGACTTGATGCAATTTGCTGGGTTCTTTATATAGGAAACATTTTTTCTGATTGGCTTAATGAACTGACCTGAACTGGAATGTTTATTATGTGAAGTGCCTTGAGATGACTCTTGTCGTGATTTGGCGCTATATAAATAAAATTGAATTGAAGTGTGTATTGAATGGAGAACCCAGGGAAGTGAAGCGGGTTGGCGAGACCGACCACCAGATGGTCCAGTGGTTGTTTTCTGTCTAAACGGTGTTATTGGCAAATAATTTTACACTGCAAAAACTGATTTATAAGTAAGTAAAAAAAAGCCAAATTTTCAAACATTTTATCTAAAAAAGAAAACAAATTCTTCTCTAGAAAAAGCAGCATTACTTCAAATAAAGTAAATATTCCTAAATATGATACAAAGGTTTTAGGGTAAGCAAAAGTGGCTTGGCTAGAATTCATAAAACTAGCAAATAAATATATTTGTAGATTAGTTTTGTTAAAAAAAACATAAATCAGTTTTCCAGTGTAGAAAAATGCGAGAGAACCACTTTATCATTTTTTTGGTTTGTTTGGTTTTTATCTCCACAATATATTTACTAAGTTAGAACGTTGTTAAGAGGCATGAAAAAAAAAGTTTTAAGCTAATTTGTTTTCCTAATTTGCAATGGCAGCTTTTAAATCACCTTAAATTATTCAGCAGCAAGGTTCCTGATTGGAGCTGACAGAAGACAGCACATTACACCCATTCTTAAACCACTCCATTCAAATCATTGAACAGTCAGGCAATGTGAGCAAACTCCTCCATGTCTATCACCCTCCTCGTGCTCTTAGGTCTGCAGATCAGCTCCGGCTCAACGTCCTTAAGGCATGTACAGTCTATGGTGAAGACCCGTGGGGGAAGGGCTTTTTTGTGCCCCAAAACTTTGGAACTCACTGCCTCTCCAGGTTAGGCAAGCACCCTCTATCATACACACTACTTCTCCATGGCCTTTATCCCTAACTCCTGGCCCTACCCCAAACCATTAAGCATTAAATCATACTTTGTCATCTTTCTTTCCATCTTGGTTGTTCAATTTAAAATCTGTGGCTTAGTAATGTTGTGCTTCCACCTTGTTTGCTAGACTTTACTTTGTTGCTCTTTTAAATAGTTTTTATTTATTTCTGCCTGTGTTGTTTTCTTATGTGCAGTGCTTTGGTCGGTTGTAATGCCGTGTTAAAAGCGCTCTATAAATAAAGTTATACTGTATAGTAAATCCGCTCATGCTCCACTAACAGCTGCAGCGTTGATTGAGAGATTTGAAATAGTTTTACGTACAATTCCCAAAACTTCGACACAGATATTTCTTCTTGTTAGTTTGCTCGATGACCTCCACGATCTCTCCTTGAGTCACTTGAAGATCTTTAGAGCCTAGCTTCTTTATGACGCCATTGGGATCCACCATCATGGTGTGTAGCACCTTGACTGGTCCTTCAAACTACGGAGGAACAAACGTGTCATTTATTTATGCTGCATGTTTTTAATTTATTGATGAGTAAATAATACAGTCACAGAAGACACAAAAACAAAGAGCATAAAAGCTGATTAAACTATTAAACAGACAATCCTTTAATTAACAATCTATTAAAAAAAAGATTTAAAGAAATGTACCTTAAACTTCTTCTTTAGCTCCTTTTCCACTTTGGGATCTATACTAAAAAAAGACATGATGGCTTTTAAAATTTACAAATGTATTTAGTGTAAAAACATTTTTATTAACACGACTCAGCAGCCATCTGCCTGTCTTAGCCATCATTTATGTTTCTTTTATTTTCAGATAATAATACTTGATTTCAGGCGGCGGTGGGGGGAAATCTTCGGGGATGGGCTGAACGTCATCATAGTCATCTGGAAAAACAAAAACCCCAGAAAGAACCACTAATTCAACATTGAAAAGTGTCTCGTTTGAAGAATTAGCTTGAAAAAAACTGAATATTCACAAAGCTGATCGATTAAAGGAAGAAAAGTACAGCATGTCAATTTAGTCACCTCTTAAAACTTCTACACAATAAAAAAATATATGGAAGGAAAATGATTTTTATTTTATAATTAAATAGTAAATATCTGGCTAAAGTATTTTAATAGAAACTCTATATAAACAGTTAATGTTTGTTAAAAATATAAATTAAACCAAAAATGACTTTGTGATTTGTTATTTACTTCAATAACAGACCAACTTTGAAGCCTGAAACAAATATATAGCATTAGCTATTATGAAAATATAAAGCTATAATAAAATAACTAAATAAATTAATCAACGAAAGAAAGAGTAAAAAATAATTGATTTGCTTAAAACGAACCTGTCTTCAAACAAACAATCAAAAAATGATAGGAAAGGACCAATAATCTAATCCAATAATTAACAGTGACAGAAGCAACTATACTTCAGGTAGTTTTGCTAAAATATTAAGGCATAAATCTCCATCCATTTCTATCAACACTCCAGTTTCTTCACAGTGGGGTTTCCCATTTTTACTCTGTAGCTGTGTGCAGAATCTACTCACCATCCTCTGGAGGGAAGCTGCAATTTAAGACACAAACACTTAATTAACTAAACCAACTTGACATGTTGTTTCAATCATGCAACAAGACACAGAAATACACATCTGTAATGTTTTTACCTGTCACCACTGTTAGACTCCATACTCAGTCTCGGCAGGGGGTCTGGAGGCGGTGGAGGTAAGTCTAATGTGTCCATTTTCCTAATCCGAGGCATTTTTCTCTTTATCGCCTCATAGTCAATATCCACACATGTGTTGCTGATGTATCCGTCTGTGTGAAAACACACACTGTGGCTTCAACATGTATATCATTACACTTGATTATCAATTTGAAGTCAACATTAGACCGTGAAAACAAGACATCCTGCCGTTAAAGGACATTTTAGGGTTTTTAGGTGTGTAAAAGTTAGCAATGTGCTATCTTACCTACTTTAGCGCTTCCTGAACAGTTTGGAGAAAGAGAGTCTGATGAGCTAACGGTTAGTTTGAACAAAACGCACACCATAAAAACGGATTGCTGCTGTCTTAAAACATCTATAGTCTCTAAGATCTCATGCAGGTTCATACAGTTTCACATCACACTTATTTAAAATGGAATATTAAGACATTCCTGCCTCGGAAAAGGGTTGAATGACTTCTCCAGGTCAGGGATGAGGTCTTGCCCCAAGTGGAGGAGGCTAAGTATCTCAGGGTCTTGTTCACAAGTGAGGGAAAGCTGGAGAGTGGGATCGACAGGCGGAGTGGTGCTGTGTCTGCAGTGAAGTGGGCGTTGTACCGATCTGTCGTGGTGAAGAGAGAGCTGAGCCAGAAGGCGAAGCTCCCGATTTACTGGTTCCTACCCTAACCTATGGTCACAAACTTTGGGTAGTGACTGAAAGAATGAGATCTCAGATACTATACAAGTGGCTGAAATGAGTTTTCTCTGCAGGGTGGCTGGGCTTAGAGATAGGGTGAGAAGCTCGGTCATCCAGGAGGGGCTAAGAGTAGACCCTCTGCTCCTCCACATTGAGAGGAGCCAGTTGAGGTGGCTTCTGTTCAGGATGCTTCCTGGACGACTCCATGGTAAAGTATTTTGGAAACGTCCAACTGGGAGGAGACCCAAGGGAAGACCCAGGACACGCTGGAAGGACTCTCTGCTGGCCAAGGAACGCCTTGGAATTCTCCCGGAGGAGCTAGCTTAACAGCTGAGGAGAGGGAAGTCTGGGCCTCTCTGCTTAGGCTGCTGCTCCCGCAACCCAGCTCAGGATAAGTGGCTGAAAATGGATGGATGGAGGACATTCCTGCTTGAGTCAACCCCCTGGATACACCAGAAGTGCAACATTTCTTCTACTGCTTCTCATAAATAACTGTTGAATGTAAAACTGGCTGGCGTTTCATCAATGCATTAAATGCTATGAAAAAATTGTTTATATAGCCGTTATATCAAATTTAGAAGACAAATGAGCTTAAATCTTGTTTTCATGCCTCTTAACATTCTAACATAGTATAGCTATAAAAATATTGTGGAGATTAAGTGTTTCTCTCACTTTTTGTCTAAAAATCATCGCCAATAGCACGTTACAAATCTAAAGCAACAATTGGACCATCTGGTTGTTTGTCTCACTGAACCGCCGCACTTCCCTGGGTCCTGCATTCATTACACACTCATGTATTTAGCAACAGAACACCACTGCTGTGAGAGGTTCTCCACTCAATAACATTAGAGGAGAAACAGCCGGTTGCTACCACTTCAACATTAGGACAAACTACTACTACTACCCCAAAAAGAAAAACACCATTTGTAGTGACAGACAACAAAAAACATCTGGTCCTAAAAAACAGCAACTAGTGTTTAGCGCTTCCTCGCTTCCTCTGGCAACACGGGTTTCCATTTCGAGCAGAAGCGTCTCGGGGAAAACACTCAAGGGGAGGGGTGAGTGTTCCATGGCCATGTTTGAGTTCAAAACTGAGCTTGTTCTGTAGATTCACTATAACAGCTTTAAGCTGTAGCCACTAAAGCAACCAAATGCGCTAATTTATTGCTTCATTTATTCCGTTTACATAGAAACACAAGTCAAAATTAAGTTAAAGTGACAAAGTGTACTTTCACTGGCGATAGGGGGCAGTACATACCTAAATCACTGTATTTTTTGTTTGAGTAAGACCATGCCAACGGATGGCCATTAAGGTCAAAAATCCCATAGGAGGTCAACCTCCAGCTTAAAGACAAGCACATCAGACTCCCTTTCATCACTGGGAACGAGTGAAGAGGTAAATGTTTAAAACAACAATATTTATGAACGGAGAAATATTGTACCCACTTGTTACAAATCAGTACATCCGTTTTGTCCTCACGGGCTCACGTAGAAGGAAACATGGTGTCTAATATGGCGTCGCCTAGAGACTTAGGCCCGCTCCCACGTATTGTAGACCAGATTTTCATGGTTATATGTTATGAAGCCGCCAATATTTTTCAACAACTGGGCATCTTTTAATTCATGTTTAACATTTTGATGGATATTTACAGAGATTAAAAACTATACATTGTTTCTTTGAATTGAAAATGAATGGCGCTAAATCAGCATTTATGAAGCTATTTAATCCAGATGTTCACACATGAAGACATGATCTGGCCCTGAGAACAGCCTCGTGGATAAGAGAAGATGGTCTACATGACTGATTGAAACTCACATTTTCCACTTGTGGATCGAGCCAACCATTTACCACTGGGGTTGTTCTCCACACGGAGGATCTCGATGCTCTGTCCCTGTTGGACGCTTAGGTCCAGCTTTCCGTCCCCGGGCCAGTCATAATGAACTCTGGCTGTATGAAGAGCCTGAACCTCACTGTGTATCTGCAGAAAAATTAAGTGTGCAAAAAAATAAATATATAAATATATTCGAAATGAAAAAGCAAAAGTGAAAGAACCAAAATAATCTGGTGAGCAGATGTTTTGTTCACCTGAAAGTTCTTCTTCAGCTCATTCTGCTTCTTTTGTTTGGCCAGCTGCTCCTTCTTTTCCTGCTCCTGTTGCCTCTTTGCTTCTTTCTTGTTATTCTTCTCTTCAGCCAGGATGTTTGCCTCCAACTCACCCCTAAAAAGGGACAATCACATCAAAAGAATGAATATTTTAGATTATTCTTCAATCTTTTTAATAGAATAGTCAAAAAAGTGACTAAAGCAGTCTTCTTGGCTTTCTCTTACAGGTGAACTTATTTTCCCTTTGAAGGAGTTGAATGCTTAGTAGAAAGATGACTATTTTCATCACATCAGGCATCACCTGAAGAGCTGTGGCAGCGACTTACAGGCTTTTTATTTTAGCTGCAGCTGCAACTAAAACCAAAATAACACGAGTCTGTAGTGAACTCTGCGCTTTTGGTCTCCAGTGAGTTATATAAGTCATTTATCTGAGCATGAAGTTCAGACTCACTCATCAATAGACTCGTACACGTCCTCATCGTCCTGCAAAAGGAAAAGTTCACGTTCGTTTAAATCAATGAACTCAAAGACAACAGCAAGCTGTATTTTGCATAAATGTAACCTGCATGTATTCGTTAACTTACTCCATTCAAACTCTGTGGGTTGTTGTCACTGTAGGAATCTGTAAAGTCGTGAAATAAACACGTCTTTATCCAATTAAAAGAAATGGTTTTTAATAGGAGTGGAAAAATAGTAATATTTTGTGTAAGTTTTACCATTTTTTTCCAAGCTGCCAATGTCATCATAGGGGTCCTGTTCCTCAAAGTCCCTGGAATGGGTAAAAAATAATACCTGTGATACGTGCTTATAAGAGATTTAAGAAAAGAAAAAAAAAGGTTTTTCTTTTTAAAAGCTGATTTTCAGAATGGTTCTAAATTTTATTCTCAATAATAAAACTGTGAAATAAGTTGATTACATTGCAAATATAATATTGAAAAAAACGTAAGGATTCAGATTCCTTTTAGACCCGTTTCAGACTCAGATAATAGGATTAAGAGTTTAACTAGGATATAGTCAATGATAACACACACACACACACACACACACACACACTCACACACACACTCACACAGAGGCGATCTGCCGTGGCAGTCTGGTTGGTTTGATGGATCGTTCTGGAGGCTGCGGAGGACTCATCACTGCTGGTAAAGATGTTCTTCGGTTTGCTGATCCTGTAAAACAAGTTGGGAGAACCCAGGAGGGAGTTTGACTAAAAAGAGGGAAATCACTATTTTAGACACAAACACTTTTCCTCGTGTTTGTTTTTAGGGGTTTAAAAAGGGAAATAAGAGATGCAATGGCATTATTGTAACTCATAAACAGTGCCAATATGTGAGAAATATAACAAACACTGAGACTTTAAACAAATAAAAGCAGCTGACCAAAAACACCACCAGCTGGTGAGAAATAAAATAAATTCCATCACATCTGAATGTGACCTACCATCGGTTCTATTTGAAGCAGAGACAGGAGCTCCTCGTCTGATCTTCAGAAAGGGCTCCAGGTTGACATAAGGAGGTCGTTTTGGTTTGAAAGGCATGGGTCCTTCCAGAGGCAGAGCCCTCCGGAGAGGACTCACGTCCTTGGAGCTCCTCTGACGTGACTGCTGTCGGAGAGGGTGAGGTGTGGTGGAGGGGGGCGATGCATGAGGTAGAACTGGACTTCGAGCAGGAGTCTGATTACTACCTGCAGGTCTCTGGTGCTTCAGCATCATGTTCTGTAGCTTCTCCCCCCTCTGCTTGACCTTGCTGGTGTCTCCTGACTGGATGGATGGTCTGGATGCAGAACTGGGAGTTGGTCGAGAGGAAGAGGCAATCCAAGAGGGGACGGGGGCCACCGCTGACTCTGCCCTTGGAAACCTCCCCACTGCTGGACCAGCAAATGGAGGAGGAACGGGTGGTAGTCTGTGGGGAGAAATGTTCTCCATCGATGGTGCAATCGTTCTCCCCAAGCCGGGCCGTGGAGAGTTGCTGTCTCGGCTGCTGGTGTCTGAGGTTCTGGCCTGGCTGTTGAATCGGTCCCGTAGAGCCCTCACATCAACAGTCTCCTCCTGAAAACAAGACAGGAGTCCAAACTCAACTGCTGCTGCTCTGATTCTGAAGCAGGAAGTTAGCAGTGTAACACAGAGCAGGGCATGCCCCCACTCTGAGATACACAGCACTCATCTGACTCCTGAGTGAGAAAATGCATCGTGCAAGATCTCCGTTTCCTGGTTATGGCTTTCCGAGAGCAGAGAAGTGTCTGCAGGCACAGAAAACACCTCTCAACCCTAAATGTGAAAGCTCACTGAAAAAATGGAAGTCCTCTGTTCAAGTTACTTTTTCCTTACATGTAGTTCTACATAATTGGATCATGTTTGTAAGATGAACATGACTGACTTGTGTAATGCTAACTTAAAAGGGTACAATGTGGTTAATACATGATTCCTTCTTGTTGGGGTAACACGGATAGATTGTGTCCATGATTCCGCTCGCCAAGGTTGGATAAAACAGATTTCTTAGCATGCCGCGCTCTTTCTAAATGTTGAATAGTAAAATAAATCAACTGATTACAGTTCAAGTTCAATTCACATTTAAAGTATTATAAATGAAATGAAATATGCACGTGTGGGCGACAGTGGTAAAGGAGTTAAGTGCTCGCCCCGTGATTGGAAAGTTGCAGGCTCGAGCCCTGCTCAGTCTGTCACTGTGTCCTTGGGCAAGACACTTAACCCACTTGCTTGCTGGTGGTGGTCGGAGGGACCGGTGGTGCCGGTGTACGGCAGACTTGACTCTGTCAGTGTGCTCCAGGGCAGCTGTGGCTACAATGTAGCTCATCACCACCAGCGTGTGAATGTGTGTGTGAATGGATGAATGACTGATTGTGTTGTAAAGCACCTTGGGAGGTTCCAGGACTCTAGAAGGCGCTATATCAAATACAGGCCATTTACCATTTACCATACATGTGCCGAAACAGTTTGGCTTAGTTCATAAGTTGGCAGTGAGCAGCAGTCTCATCATCGGAGACTCAATCATCAAACACGTCAGGATGAGTGGAGCCGTCACTCACAGTTTTCCCGGAGCGAAAGTCATGGACATTGCCAAACGGATCCCAGACCTCATCCACAAACACCCAACAGTGAGTAAAATTATAATCCACGCCGGCACCAACGACACCCGCATGCAGCAGTCTGAACTCCTGAAGCGTGATTTTACCCATCTTTTTAGCTTTTTAAAAAGCACCCATCTGTGTGTTTTTATCTCTGGCCCCATCCCCACGGTTGATAGAGGAATTGGACATTTTAGCCAAATTTTATCTTTGAACACCTGGCTTTCTTCTGTCACTGTGCAGCACAACATTGCTTTTATTGACAATTGTATTGACAACATTTTTTTGGGGCAGGAAGCATCTGTTTGGGCCTGACGGACTCCATCTAAATAGACAGGGTACCCACACACTTAAAATGAGCCTGGCCTGCCCACGACCACCTTTACCCACCACACCACCCCCAGCTGCCCCCATGCCCCAACCTCCTCCCCCCACATCATGATGTCCCACTGGTCCAGGATCCTATGAACTCAGTTATGATTTTAACAGTAACCCACATATTGGACTTGGACCCTTGCACACCTCTCACATACCTGTCATCAGCAGAGAGCGATCACATAAACACAAAAACGAATCGGTCTAATCTTAGTAATCTTAAACAGTGGACAAGAATCTCACCCCCAGTAAATATCACAGTCACTCCATCTTTAGTTACTATCAATATGGCTCTTTTAAATGTTTGCTCTCTGCTGAACAAAACTTTTATTATAAATGACCTAATTTTAGATAATCACTTTAAATGTGTATTTTTGACAGAAACGTGGCTGAGTTCAGATGCTCCTGCTGTTCTCACAGAGGTCTCCCCACCAAACTTTAATTTTACTTATTCAATAAGAAATGGAAAAAAGGGAGGCGGAACTGCTTTTATAAGCTCTTCTTTCCGCAAAACCTGTTTTATTTGACAACTTCACCACTTTCGATTATAGTGCAGCCATTTTTACCAATCTTCAGATGTTATGTGTTACTGTTTATAGACCTCCGAGGCACATTGCACTTTTTATACAGGAACTTTATGAGTTTTAATCAATTCTGCACAACTCTTTTGATAGTATTATTTTAGCTGGTGATTTTAATTTACACATAGATGACCCTGCAGACCCTTTTACCACTGAATTTTTAAACATTTTGAGTTATATGGATTTTACACAACATGTTGCACAACCAACCCACGACAGAGGACACACCCTGGACTTGGTCATCACGTCTGGTCTGTCCACCGGTGTGTCCTCTGTCGTGGATTTAGCGATCTCAGATCATTTCTGTGTGTTTTTTAACATCACCAGCATAAATCAGGAGGAGACCTCTGTGAGAATTGTAATAAAATGCCATCTAACCCCTGAAGTGGCTGCTGGTTTTCTGGAAACTTTTAAAAAGATCCCTCCTATTAATTTAAATGCCCCCTGTGATTTTATCTTCAATGACTTTAACAGTAGACTTAAATCTACTCTGGATCTGCTCGCTCCACCTAAAATTAAAAAGCTACAGCCAAAACCAGCTTCCCCTTGGAGCAATGAAAACTTAAAAATTTTGAAAAGATCTTGCAGGGTGATGGAGAGAAAATGGAGGAAATATAAGAACACAATTAATAAACAATTATACACTGAATTATTAAAATCATACAACAAAGCAGTTAGAAATTCCAGACATAATTACTTTTCTAAAATCATCTCTGAACACAAAAACAATCCCAAAATTCTGTTTTCTACAATCACAAATATTTTGGGTCGTGAATTTAGTTCTCTCCAGAAAGCCCCCTCGGATGCTCTCTGTGAGGAGCTTGCAGCCCACTTCAGAGGGAAGGTAGACACCATCAGACGTAACATTTTATCCTCCCAATGTCATGCTGCTCCTGATCAATCTGAGAGTGTGTGTCTACCTGAGGAAACACTGGACAGTTTTGTCTTGGTTGAAGCTGAGATTATTGATAAAGTTTTCTCCTCAGAGAGGCCCACCACATGTGTTCTGGACCCTATTCCCACAAGGTTTTTTAAACAATTTTATGACTCTTTTAGAGATGAGATTTTAACTTTGATGAACTGTTCCCTTCAGACGGAGGTCTTTCCTGCTGCTTTTAAACGGGTGGTGGTAAGACCCCTGTTGAAGAAGAGCAATTTAGATTTTAATGACTTTAACAATTTTCGACCAGTATCCAACTCACCATTTTTAAGCAAAATTTTGGAGAAGCTTGTTTTAATACAACTTAATGATTTTATCAACCACCAACATGTCCTAGAGAAATTTCAGTCTGGTTTTAGGGTGAACCACAGCACTAAGATTTTAAATGACTTTAGAACAAATTTTGATGCTCGGAGGGTAACAGTGTTGGTTCTGCTGGATCTAAGCGCTGCCTTCGATACAGTAGAGCACACTATTCTTTTAACACGTTTAAAAAAAAGATCGGCCTCTCTGGTGCTGTTCACAGTTGGTTCACTTCCTACCTCACAGACAGGACTTTTATGGTGAGTTTGGATGCCTGTTCCTCTGGGGTCCACAGCATCACATGCGGTGTGCCTCAGGGTTCAATTCTAGGCCCAGTGCTTTTCAACCTCTATATGCTCCCTCTGGGCAGCGTCATCAGGAGACATGGGGTGAATTTCCACAGTTACGCTGACGATACACAGTTGTACATCTCCGTGTCTTCTGATGACGCACAGCCAATGGAAACACTTTTTAACTGCATTTTAGATATTAAATCATGGATGACTGAAAACTTTCTCCAGCTCAACCAAGGCAAAACTGAAGTTTTAGTCATCGGTCCTGAGGCCCAGAGAGAGAAACTTTTACCTAAACTACAGTCAGTGTCTTTTTATCCATCACTACAAGTCAAGAATCTGGGTGTTATTTTGGACTCTGAGCTGACTTTTATTCCCCACATTAAAAACATCACAAAAATAGGTTTTTACCATCTTAAGAATATCGCCAGAGCCCGCCCCATTCTCTCTCGGGCCAATACGGAGACGCTAATGCATGCTTTTATAATCTGTAGAATTTATTACTGCAATGCCCTGCTTTCTGGTCTTCCCAAAAAGAGCATCTCAGGTTTACAACTTTTACAAAACTCAGCAGCACGTGTCCTGACAAAGACCAGTAAGCGGGAGCACATCACTCCGGTTTTAAAATCACTGCACTGGCTCCCCGTATGTTTCAGGATCGATTTTAAGGTTCTTTTAATGGTTTTGAAGTGTCTTAATGGTCTTGGGCCTTCTTATCTTTCAGAAATGCCTTTACTATACAAACCCTCGTGGTCTCTGCGCTCCTCTGGCAGCCGTCTCCTAGTTATCCCTAAAGTTAAGACTCAGACCCACGGCGAGGCGTCCTTCAAGTACTACGGCCCTCGCCTTTGGAACGGGCTGCCGGAGGACCTCAGGGCCGAAGGGAACGTCCAGGCTTTTAAGAATAGACTCAAGACCCACCTTTTTAGCTTGGCTTTTAACTGATTACTATTTATCTGGTCCGTTTAACTGAATCGTCTGTCATATTTGTTTATATATATATATATATATATATTATTAATTTTATCATTTTATTTACATCTTAGTGTTTTTACATGATTATGTTTTCTTTTACTATCTTTATAATCACTTTTTATCAGTTACTTTTTATCCATATTAGCTTTTGTTATTTTACAGTTATATATTTTAATCCTCCAGTGTTTCCTCTGCGGAGCCCTCTGCCTTGGGGTCGGTGGTCAGAGGCGGCGGCCGGGGCACTCCTCGGGTAGTGCCCGGGCAGTGGTGGGGGTTTCTGCCCTACGCCACTGGGCGTCATGGGCCGGTGCCTTGGCTGCTGCTGTGGATCTGTTGCTGTCAGGGCAGATGGCTCCGCTGATGATGTGTTGTTCATTACCTGACCCATCTGAACTCAGCCTATTGCTTCCTCTGTTGCTCACGTGTGTGTGTGTGTGTGTGTGTGTGTGTGTGTGTGTGTGTGTGTGTGTGTGTGTGTGTGTGTGTGTGTGTGTGT